CATCTAGAGGTCTCTGATTTGCTCATTTTAGCCACTCTGACTGGCGTGAGGTGGTATCTCAGTGTGGTTTTGATTTGTATTTCCCTGATGAGGAGGGATGCTGAGCATCGTTTCATGTGTCTGTTGGCCATCTGGATGTCCTCTTTGGAAAAGTGTCTGTTCATATCTTCTGCCCATTTCTTCACTGGGTTGTTTGTTTTTCGGGCGTGTAGTTTGGTGAGTTCCTTATAGATTCTGGATATTAATCCTTTATCTGATATGTCATTTGCAACTATCTTTTCCCATTCCGTTGGTTGCCTATTAATTTTCTGGGTTGTTTCCTTGGCTCTGCAGAAGCTTTTAATCTTGATGAGGTCCCAATCAATAAATATTTATTTTTAAAAATATTTATTTTTGAGAGAGAGAGAGAGAGAGCATGAGCAGGGGAGGGGCAGAGAGAGAGGGAGACACAAAATCTGAAGCAGGCTCCAGGCTCTGAGCCATCAGTGCAGAGCCCGACGTGGGGCTCCAACTCACAAACTGCGAGATCATGACCTGAGCAGAAGTCAGACGCTTAACTAACTGAGCCACCCAGTGCCCCCAAATAAATATTTAAAAAGAGGAAATATTTTCTATTTGTTTCTAATTTATAGAAATGCAATAAATGTTTATATAATACATTGATCAAAAGTGAAACATCTTGCTATACTCTTTTATTATTTCTATTAATTTGTTTACAGGCTTTTGGGGGTTCTCTGTGTAGATAATAATCCCCTATGAGTGATGCCAGTTGTTCTGTGCTGGCTGGGACACCCCAGTATGACACTGACAATGCTGGACATCTTTGAGTTAATTTTAAATGTAATGCTGCCATTTTCCAATCAATAATATTTGCTGGGGCGTCTGGGTGGCTCTGTTGGTTAAGCCTCTGGTTTTTTACTTCGGCTCAGGTTATGATCTCGTGGTTGGTGAGATCGAGCCCTGCCTCTGGCTTTGTGCTGGCAGCACGAAGCTTGCGTGGGATTCTACCTCCCTCTCTCTGCACCTTCCCTGCTTGCTCTCTCTCTTTAAAAATAAATAAAAACTTTTTTAAAAGGCAAAAAACCACAATATTTGCTGTTCTTTTGTTTGTTTACTTGCTGTTTTGGGTAGTTCTTTAAAAAGTTTTTTTCCAGATTTATTGAAATATAATTGACATACGATTGACATACGACATTAAGTTGTACCCTGTGATGATTTGATACACCTATGTTTTGCAAAGTGATTATTACCACAGCGTTAGGAACACCTCCATCATGTCACATAATTATAACTCCTTGTTGTGGTGTGATCATTTAAGATCTACTCTCTCTTGGTGCGCCTGGGTGGCTTAGTTGGTTAAGCGTCCGACTTTCGCTTAGGTCATGATCTCGCGGTTCGTGGGTTCTATCCCTGCGTCGGGCTCTGTGCTGACTGCCAGCTCAGAGCCTGGAGCCTGTTTCAGAGTCTGTGTCTCCCTCTCTCTCTGACCCTCCCCTGCTCATGCTCTCTCTCTCTCTCCTAGAAATAAATAAAACATTAAAAAAAAATTAAGATCTACTCTCTTAGCAATTTCAAATATACAGTACAGTATTATCAACTAAAATCACCATCCCGTACATAAGATTCTCAGAACTTCTCCATCTTAGATAGCAGTCCACCCTTATCCACCGAAGTCAGACACTTAACAGAGCCACCCAGGTGCCCATGCAGTGGGCCCCCATCAGTGGACCCCCATCTCCAGCAGATGCCTGAAATGATGACAGTACTGAGTCCTATGTATACTATGTTTTGTCCCATGAATCCACACCCCAAATAAAGTTTAATTTATAAATTAGGCACATAAGATGTATAGCTGTAAATATACACACACGTGTGCACACACATTTTTTCATTATATATATATGATTTGTTGATGAATCATTTGAAAGTTATAGATACCATAATGCTCACCCTAACTACCTCAGCCTGTATCTCATCAGAACCAGGACATTCTCCTATATATCCACAGCCCTATTATCAAGTCCACCAAATTTAATATTAATACAAAAATAGAAACTAATATGACATCTATATTAGTGTCCCATTACTGCTGTGGCTTAAAACAGCTCATTTATTACTTTACAGTTCCGGAGGTCAGAATTCTGGCATGGATTTTACTGGACTAACATAAAGACATTGGCAGGGCCACATACTTTCTCGAGATTCTAGGGGTGGGTCAGTTTTCTTGCTTTTGCCAGTTTCTGGAGTCTGCTGATATTGCTTGACTTGTGGTCTCCTTCTATCTTCAAAGCCCAGAACAATTGGCCAAGTTTTTCTCACATCAGCTCACTCTGATCCTTCTGTATCCTTCTTCCACATTAAAAAAATTTTTTTTAATGTTTACTTATTTTTGAGAGAGAGAGAGAGAGTATCAGGGTGCAAGTGGGGGAAGAACAGAGAGAGAGGGAGACACAGAATCCAAAGCAGGCTCTAGGCTCTGAGCTGTCAGCACAGAGCCCAACATGGGGCTCGAACCCACAAACTGTGAGATCATGACCTGAGCTGAAGTCGATGCTTAACTAACTGGGCTACCCAGGCTCCCCCTCCTTCTTCCACATTTAAGGATCCATGATGACATTAGGCCCATCCCAGGTAATCGGCAATAGTATCCCCTTTTTTAAGGTCAGCAGATTGACGACCTTAATTCCATTGGTTACATTAATTCCCCTTTGCTATATAATGTAATATATTTACAGGTTCCAGGAATTAGGATTTGGATGCCTTTGAAAGATTACTCTGCTCATAATAGTCTGCCCATTGGATCCCAGAGACTGATGTAGAGGCAGGAAGTATATTAGTGGCTGCCTAAGACTGTGGGCATCTGGGGGAAATAAGCAGGACTGCTAATGGCTATAAAGTATCAAAATTAATTTTAGTGATAGTTGAACAATTCTGTGAATTGTATACTAGAAACCATTGAATTGTATACTTAAAATTTTTACTTGTATGGTCTATCAGCTACATCTCAATAAAACTATTATAAATTAACAAATAAATGAGAAATATCCAAAAATATAATTGTCTTAAAATTTTTCCTCTTCATGCATTGAATGCCACATTGTGAGGTGTTATATGTTTTGTTTCAATGATAAAATATGATTAAAGAAACTGATGAGGTAAAGAATAATACATTATTACTTTAAAATAAATTATTGAGAGAGAGAGAGACAGATAGAAACAGAGAACGAGGTGGGGAGGGATACAGAGAGACACACACAGAATCTGAAGCAGGCTCCAGGGTCTGAGCTGTCAGCACAGAGCCCAATGTGGGGTTTGAACCCACTTACTGCGAAATCATGATCTGAGGCGAAGTCTGACGCTTAACTGGCTGAGCCACCAGGCACCCCTATTATTACTTTTTTTAATGTTTATTTTATTTCTGACAGAGAGAGAGAGAGAAGAGCGAGCACGGGGTAGGGGCAGAGAGAGAGGGAGACAGAGGATCTGAAGCGGGCTCTGCACTGACAGCAGGGATCCCCACGTGAGCTTGGGATCACAAACCCTGAGATCACAACCTGAGCCAAAGTCACTTAACAGAGGCACCCAGGCGCCCCTCACTGCATCTTTCGTATGTAAAATAGAAACGGGCAGTGTCTCCAGCTCCAGGCTGAGGCCACTGTCCAAGGTGCTGATGCCCCCCAACTATGCCAAGGGCTTGGGACCTGTGATTTTGCAGTTGTGTCTGCTCTTTCCATTCTTACCAAGGAGCATTACTAACAGGGAAGAGGTGGACAGGCCTGCAGGGAGTGTGGACTGGCCTTCATCCCCCTCACTCAGGGCAGTGATGGTGCTGTGGACATCACTGCAGGAAGTGACTCCGTGGTCAGATGACCAAGTCCAGGCTGCCCACCAGCAGTTTGTAGTGAAGGATGGTGGTGAATACAACCTTGAGGGTGTGGTAAACAGAACAAGGGCCCTTCAGAGATACCCAGATTCTCCTGCCTAGAGTCTGTGAATATGTCAATGATAAAGGGACTTACAGATTAAGTTAAGGATCATGTGATTGTGAAATTACGGTGGTTTATCCAGGTGGGCCAAAATAATCACAAGCGTTCTTCCTTTTTCTTTTTCTTTACTTTTTAAAAATGTTTTATTTATTTCTGAGAGTGAGAGAGAGGCAGCATGAGCAGGGGAGGGTCAGAGAGAGAGGGAGGCAAAGAATATGAAGCAGGCTCCAGGCCCTGAGCTAGCTGTCAGCACAGAGCTCAGCACAGAGTCCAATGCGGGGCTCAAACCCATGAACCATGAGATCATGACCTGAGCCGAAGTCAGATGTTTAACCAACTGAGAACCTTCTTTTTTTACAAATTAAAAAAAAAATGTTTATTTTTGAGAGAGACAGAGACAGAGACAGAATCCAAAGCAGGCTCCAGACTCCAGGCTCTACAGCTGTCAGCACGGAGTCTGACATAGGGCCCAAACTTGTGAGATCATGACCTGAGCTGAAGTTGGCCACAAATGACCGAGCCACCTAGGCATGAGAGAGGGAATGACACAGGGAGTGGTAGAGGGAGGCAGGAGAGGCAGAACCAGAGAAGAAGCTGTGATGTTAGAAACAGGACACAAAGAGACTTTAAGATGTTGTGCTGCTGGCTTTCAAGGTGGAGGAAGGGGCCACAGCCATGGAATGCAGGCAGCCTCCAACAGCACAGCTTGACAAAATGAGGAAACAGACTCTTCTAGAGCCTCCAGAGAAACAGCCAGGTGGGCACCTTGATTTGTGTTGACTTCCACCACTAAGTTTACAATAATTTGCTAGACCAGCAAAAGGACACTAACAAGAGGCATCACCTTGTCTAATCCAACATAGAGTGCATTGAGATAGGAGCATCTTAGAGCTAAAAATGATGTGATACTTTGCAGGATGTTTTTCCTACTGGTCCTCTCATGACTAAGAAACAATACTTGGGTGATGGCAAATCCACTTGTGAAATGTGGGGGCGGAGTCTTGGTGCTCGGACCACGTTTGTTTATGTAAATGGGGGCACTGATGTGAGTGAATCTGCACGGAACAGCCCTTACCTGGGGCCTCAGAGAGGGACTTAGAGATGCTGGCCCCAGTGTGTGGAGGAAGCTGCAGGTGGGATAGGGGACCAGGCCCATAGACCAGGTGGAAGCGACACTTTGTCTCATCACCATGGGAGCCTGGCTGAGAGTTAGGTGCAGGAAGCCTCTGCCTCTGACCTGCTCCCTTATTTATGGGGAGGTGGTGTGTTTCAAGATAAGACCCGGTTCAGGGAGATAAGTGCACACTGCTGAGAGGTACTGGGCTAGAGGTCATGGGCAGTTCCCAGGAAGGCCATGCTCGGGCATGAATTCTGGGTCCTCCTCACTAGGGTTACTCTGATGGTCTCCCTATAGGCCACCCCAGAGTTAAGGACAACCTGAAGGCTGGCCTCTGACACAGAGGAAAAACCTTCAGACAGGTCTCAGTGCTCTGGATTTGGGGACAGGGCAAGTTTATTGGTGAAGGCCACCAGTCAGGGCCACCAGGGCTGGGTGAGGAGGACCAAAGGGCTCAAGACACCAAAAGGCTGTGGAGGGGCCTTGCCCAGGATGCATGCCTTCCCATGGCTGCTCCTTCCTAGCTCATCCTTGTGTGGTCATCAGAGGGCCCATGGGTTGTGCTCCTGAGCACTTAGTGCACATTGACAAAAACTGGGGGTGTCTCTAGCCTTGGTCCCTGAGCTGGGTGAGGACAGCTGAGTGCTGTCATGCTTTGGCCACAGCTCTGGTGATCTTTTCTATTTAGCATGGTCCCAGCGTGTCCATACCCCTCACCCTGTCCTCTGTCTCAGGGGACTAAGGTGGGGGCTTGGTTAACTCAGAGGCAACATTTCCCTGGGGGACCAAGAGACAAGTGCCCCAGAGTTTCAGGTGAAATTCTGCTCAGAGAAATCACCTTTCACCAAAAAAGGGCAAAGGAGGGGGAAGAGTCCTCTTTATTCATATCCTTTCATGTAGCCCTTGGTGAGTCAGGGGCTGGGATATTTTCCCTGGGAACCCCCATTTCCTGGGACATGGGGGCCTTTGGCCTGGCCCATTCAGGGTTCAGGGCAGTCTGTCAGGGTTTCCAGAAAACAGGAAGGCCTGTACCTGGGCCAATGTTGTTGAATATCCTCTGGACTTAGAGTTGATTCTGTGGCTCAGGCTGGGGCACCTGACCCCACCTAGGGCCTGGGGTCTCAGGAGGGCCCCTGGAGGAGTAGCTCCTAGGGGAAACTAAGAAGACACTTGTGGTTTGTGGTTGATCTGGCAGTAAATGTTCCTGTCAGTATGTTGTAATTCCTGTAAAAGAAGAAGAGGCCTCTGAACCCCAAGAGTTTCTCAGAACATGTTTGGGTGACTTTCAGGTCCTACACCCACCTCTCTGGGAGCCTTGCTGGGTGGCAGTTTCTGCCCTGGGCCCCTCCTTCCTCCCACCAGCCCCTGTCCCCTTCTGCTCTGCTGTTTCCTGAACCCCAAAGCACAGGCAGGAGAGGGCTGGGGGCTTATCCTCAGCTCCCTTGGGACTGGGTGACCAGAATATTCATGGCTCACACTCACCTGGTAGATGGGAACGGCTGTAGTCGTGCTGGGTCGGGAGTTCTGAACAGGGGGAGAGAACGGGTGTCAGCGGGCAGAGGGAGAGTCATTCTCTGCAGGGGTGACCCCTTCTGCTTCTTGAGCAGCCTTCTCCCAGCCTGTTGACCCACACTCCAGTCCCAGAGCCGTCTCTCCTGAACTCCCTGCCCCACTCTTCTTAGCCCAGGACCCCTGGCTGATGCTCCCGGTGCTCTGCCCCTGGCCAGACTCCAGGGTTCCCCTTGGGTCATCTGGAGTCAGTGATGTCTCAGGACAGGGTGGGGGGTGGTCCTGCCCCTGAAGATGGTCCCATGGCCATCCTGGCTAGAGCGGTGCTTGCCTTGTCCTGGTTACTCTGGTGGCAGCAGGTTTTGTGCTTTGCTTCTGAACTGTTATTTTCCCTACTTTGTTTTCCCAGAGCTTAGACCCCAGTTTAAGGAGTGGGTAGTTGGTGGGCTTACCGGGGATGTGGAGCTGCTGGCTTGTCCATGGCCTGGGAACAGAGACAGGAGTTAGCACCCACACTCCCAGAAGGTTCTGGGTCATCAGCTCTCAGAAAACCAGGAAAGAAGGGGCACCTCCCAAGGAGAGACCCACTGGTGCTGGGCAGTGAGGTGCTCACCCGTGACCTAGATTCCTTAGGTCAGGGAGTACTGCCAGTTGGAGTCCCCTGTTCTGAAGCCTCAGAGAAACGGTCAGCGGCCTCTGGGAGTGACTGGCAGGAGTGGACATTGAGTGGCAGGACTAGGGGCTCCCTGGGCTGCCTGGACTGAAGGGATACTCACCAGGGGTGGAGGCTGGGTTCCCGATCTCTTTGTGAGTACGTAGGCAACCGGTCCTAGGAAAGATCAGGCTTACTTGTGAAGTGAGCAGGGAGAGGTCACAGCTTTGGTGTCAGAACAGGGGACAAGGAGGGTCCTCATTCCCAGCAGGGCTAGAGACCACGTGTCTCCACCAGTGCTACTTAGGAGAAGAAGGGCCCCAGAGAGGGATAAAGAAAGGCCTTTGGAGCACATCTGTCCTCGGACCAGAGGGGAAGCCGGGCAGACTGACAGACATCTAGGGAAAGTATGCTGAACAGGGATCAAAGACCCAGGAAAGGAATCATACATGAGGGTATGAGTGAGTGGAAGTGTCAAGGCAGCCAGCTGCGTGTGTAGGACACTTGGGGAGCCCGGGTATGTCAGATCCCTGAATGTGGTGCCTCTGCTGTGGCCAAACCAGCGGCCTCTCAGGACAAGAGATGCTGAAAAATGACATCGGCTTACCCTCTATCTCCATCTGCCAGGACAAGAGGCATCACCCAGGACCTCTACCCGCTGTGTGCCCAGGGTGTGTGGTCACACACATCAGGCCCTGTGGTTCCCACATGTGCCACTTTGGGGGTTGACCCCACCCGGCCTGTCAGGATCATCCACTCTCCCTTGCATGACCTTGGCCAGGAGGACCATCCTCGGATCCCAAGGCTACAGATCCCCCTCCCAGGGCTTGTGGACTCACAAAGCATGGGAGCTATGGGTCACTGAGCACTCAGTACTGAGCACTGCTATAGGTTTACCAAGTGAACCAGGACAACCCTGAGGGGCTGTTCTCTGCTTGTCCTGAATTTATCACAGAGGAAGATGTGGAGGAAGGGCCCCAGGCAGCAGCTGGTAAGGAAGAAGCCAAGTGCAATGAGAAGAGAAATCTAGGGAGCAGTTGGGAGGCCCAGGAAAGCCAGCTCAGAATCCTGGGTCAGGACAGGGTCTCCTTGCTGATGGGGTCCAAGTCGGGGGCGGGGGGGGGCACACAACAGCATCAGTATGTGGGAAATGCCATTGTACCTTCCCATCCTCATGCGGAGTAAGAGATACCCCAGGACAGCCACCAGTGCCACACCAACCAGGACCCCAATTGCAATGCCAACACTGGTCCCCACAGTGTGGCCTGTGGTGCTTCCTTCATCTGAAAGAAGAAGCAAAAAGGTGGAGGAATAGCTGAGGAAACCATGAGGGGCTGGGGGGAAGGGCCTGGTTAGGGAGGAAGGAAAGGCTGTTGAGGTCTGGGTGTTGTGTGTTTTCCCCACAGCGTCCCCACCCCCTTGGCTGCTGCATCATTTCTAGTTGTTGTTGTTGTTGTTCTTCTTCTTCTTCTTTGTTAATTTTTTTTATTTGAGAGAGAGAAAGAGAGAGAGAGCAAAAAGGATAGGGGTATGCATATGGGAGACAGAATTCCAGACTCTCCGCTATCAATGCATCCCAACCAGGGGCTTGAACCCACAAACCATGAAATAATGACCTGATCTGAGATCAAGACTTGGATGCTTGGGACCCTGGGTGGCTCAGTTGGTAAAGTGTCTGTCTTTGGCTCAGGCCATGATCTTATGGTTCATGCGTTATGGCCCCATATTGGGCTCTGTGCTGACAGTGCAGACCTTGCATACGATTCTTTCTTCGTCTCTATCTGCCTCCACCTAACTCCACCTCTCTCTCTCTCTCAAAAAAAATAAATAAACTTTGAAAAAAACCTTAAAAACAAAAAGAATTGTCAGCTTAACCAGCTGAGCCACCCAGGTGTCTCCTGCTGTGCCCTTTCTCCTCCACAGAGTGAAACCTTGGACTTACCCTCATCTTCATGTCCTCACCTGCCCCAAACTGTGGCAGCGCCCACACCCTGTTCCCTGTCCTCTTAAGGCCTCTCTCTCTTCCTTTCACATTATGCATCTTCCCCCATTTTTTCCTTTCCATCACTATCGATGGTCTTAGAGGGAGTCTCCTACCTGTCCACTCAACACTGCTTAGTGAGAATAACATCAGCTGACTGCTTTCGCGGTAGCTCTGGGCCAGGCACATGGGAAACACTTCCCATTGATCTCACCTGCTGCTTCCCTGCCCTAGAGGGGGTCATCTCCACTGTGCAATATCAGCATCTGAGCATGTCAAGGACTTTGGGAAAGTCGTGAAGGACACAGAACTGGATAGTGATAAAACAACACTTAATCCCAGATCCATGTGACATTACGGCAAATAACAACAATGTTAATAACACGAGAACAATAGCTGCTAAAATGATTTTGCCTGGAATCTGCTCAGGTAGCTGTCTCAGGATTTAAAGTCTCATTAAGCTCATAGTGACAACCCTCAGAACAGCCCTAAGATCCAGCTCTTTTCAGTTTTACAGATGAGGACACTGAGGTTCTGGAGGCAAGTGTCTTCTCTGAGGCCCCACAGCTGGCATAAAGCAGAACCAAGATGTTAACAAGATTAGCTTAATTCCAGAAATATTATTCACATTGCTCTAGAGGCGGTGAAGGAGGCTCCCACCTCCTCCAGGCCTGTATCCTATTTCTACCTCCTGCCGGTGATATATTCAGGGAGCAAGGGGAAGAGGTAGGTTGAGGGTCACTCACAGCTCACAGTCAGCCTGATGGGATCACTTTTGCTGGAATTGACTGGGTTGGAGACCTCACACTGATAAGTCCCAGCATCCTCCCTCCTGACAGGGTCTATGGTGAGGGTGCTGTTGTCCTGGGACAGCTTCATCCTCTCCATGAGATGGAGACTCTAGCCATTGAAGAACCACCACATGGAGACTCCCTTGTCATTTGTGGAGCAGGTCAGGACCACAGAGTCCACATATTCTATGACTGTTTCCCTGCTGACATGGACAGAGGGCTGCGACACTGGCTCTGCAGAGAAAAGAGGAGGTGACAATAAGAGGTATCCTGGGGCTGTGCTCTTCCCTCTGAGATCTTGGCCACTCTGAGGGTCCCACTGAGCTCCGTAAAGGTGCCCCAGAGGATGGCCCTGAAGTCTGCAGAAGGATGAGTGTCTTTGTTCAGGTGTCTATCTATAAGGAGGGGCTGTACCTCCCCCTCCAACCCTCAGGTGCTCCCCTGGCCCTCTGTCATCTGTATGGTCTGCCTGGACATCTCTGTGGTATGAGCACCACACACTCTTAGCCCATGTGTCCAGCATCCTCATCATCACGTGGAATTTTCCCCATAGACTCCTTTGAGATTCTTTCCTTGAACTTTTGTGACTTTAACAGATCATGCCTCACTCCTTATATACCTTACTGTGTATGTTGGGGAGGAAGGCATGCGGCCCCCTGTCTCTGTGTCCAGGGCAGCTTTATATAAAGTAGGGAAGGCATTTACACTATTATAATTTATTGGGAAGTGAGAGCAGCCCACCCAGTCTTCATCACCTTAGGAATTGAAGGGTTTTCAATATACAGGATTTCTCAGTCTGAAGAAGACTTTTACATCTGTGGATTGTGAAAAATGTCCTTAGAGGCATGGTTATTGTGTACACAATACTGGTGCCCTTATAAATAGGAGGAAACGATGGCAGCATAATAAAGGCTTTAATGAAACATGCACAGCTAGCATCATACCCAATGGTGAAACACGGAAAGTGTTTCCTCTAAGATCCAGTAGAACATAAACCTGACACTTTCACCACCCATGTTCAACAGAGTACAGGAGTCCAAGCCAAAATAATTAGGACAAAAAGAATAGAATGCAATCAAATTGGAAAGTAATAAGTACAATTAGTCTGTTTGTAGATTATTGAAATTATATGTACAAAACTCTAAAGATACCACAAAAACTGTTGAACTAATCAACAATGTCATATTTCAATAATTTCAAATTCTGTGCAGCAGGTTTGCAGGATACAAAATCAACATGCAAAAATCACTTGTGCTGCTATACACTAAAAATTAAATACCTCCCCCCCACCTGAAATCAAGAAAACAGCTTCCTTTACAATAACATTAAAAAGAATTAAATACATAGGAATGAGCTAATGAGGCAATAGACTATACATGGGAAACTGTAAAATATTGCTGAAAGAAATTACAGAAGACACAAATGAAGGGAAAGATATCCCATGTTCATGGATGATGAGACTTAATATTGTTAAGATGACAATTCTACCCAAAGAGGCCCAGAGATTCAATGGAATCCTATCAAATTCTTTTAAGATTTTATTTTCAAAAATCTCTGTACCCATTGTGGGGCTTGGACATACAGCCCCAAGATCAAGAGTAGCATGCTCCACTGACTGAGCCAATCAGGTGTCCCCCTATCATTATTCCCTTAAGAATATTTTGCATAAATAGAAATCTCCAAAAATTCACCTGAAGTCTCTGGGGCCTCGAATAGCCAAAATTATTTTGAAAAAGAACAAAAGTGGAGGACTCCTACTTCTTGACTACAAAGCTACAGTAATCAAAATAAATTGGGCCTGGTATATGGATTGTGATAGAGACCAATGGGATACAAAAGGCATCTCAGAAACAAACCCTGATATATATGGTCCAACGATTTTCAATAAGGTTGTCATGACCATTCGATGGAGAAAAAAATGCTATTCAATAAATGGTCTTTGAAACACTGGATACCCATGCAAATGAATGATGTTGGACCCTCACCTTACATCATGTACAAAAACTAACTTAAAATAGATCAAATATCTAAACATAAGAGTCAAAATTGTAGAAGTCTTAGAAGATCACATAAAGCAAAAGCTTACTGAAACTGGATTTCCCAATGATTTTTAGATATGACACCCAAAGCAAAGACAACAAAAGAAAAAATAGATGAATTGGATTGCATTGAAATATAAAACTTCTGTGCACCAAAAGGCACAATCAAGAAAGTGATGGTAGCAGTTAAGGAATGAACAGGACTCAGGAATGAAATATACAGCATAGAGATACAGTCGATGGCATTTTAATTTATTATTTTATTAATTTTAAAGATTTTGTTAAGATTAATTAAGTTCTACAACAAACGTGGGGCTCAAACTCACAACCTCGAGATCAAGTCACATGCTCTAAGTACTGAATCAGCCAGGTGTGTCTATTCAATGGTATTTTAATAGCATTGCATGGTGATCAATGGTAGTTACACTGTGATGGGCATTGCATAAGATATAGAGGTGTCTAATCCGTATGTTGTGTACCTGAAACTAATGTTACATCGAGTGTCAACTAAAGTTCCTTAACAACAACAACAACAACAACGAAGTGATGACAACCCATGGATTGGAAGAAAACACTTGCAAATCATATCTGGTAAGAGATTAATATCCAGAGTATATAAATCTCTTCTGCAATTCAACAACAATCAAAAGCAACTTGACCCTGAGGACTCTTCTTTCTTCCCCAGCTCCAAAGTCCCCTTATATGTGTGGGGCGTTCTGGAGCTGACAGATTCGCCTCCCCACATGGCAGCCTGGACTGTGGGATCTCAGATCTCAGATCTCAAGATCTGACGTGAGAACTCAGAGAGCGAGGGGAGGGAGCATCTGCAGACATGTGATGGGAGAGTTCAGGGACAGGTCAGTGTCACAAGCAAATGTAAAATATCTCTTTTAAGCTCTTTTCTAAAAACCAGGCAGACCTCCACCACAGTGCTCAGTGCAGATGCTCCAGGGATCCACTTACCAGACACTGTGATAATCTTGACTGTGGACTTCCCGAGGTGAGTGCCAGGGTTATAGACGAGGCAGGTATAGGATCCACTATGATTCACAGTGATGCTGGGGATAAAGAGCTCCTGTGTGGATGGCTGGAACTTCCCACTGATGAGCCAAGAATACTGTGCAGGTGGGTTAGAGGCTGAGTAGCAGGTGAGACTGAGGTTTGCCCTTGGATGGTAATAGGAGTCTGAGGGGAAAATGGTGGGGGTGTCCGGACCATCTGGAATAAACAGAACAAAGCCATACATGATATAATCCAAGATGTAATTGAGGGAAGGGGAAGAGCTGGGTGTGTATTGGGGCCACAGTTCCATCTGAGTTGGGTCAGAAGCCATGACCAGCCTGGGTGTCTAGGTGAGAGTCATGTACTCAGACCCCAGAAGGACAGATGTGGCCAGGCCTCTGGCAGTGCGGATTTGGGTGGAGAGCCCGGGCCAGGTAAGAATACAAGTTACTCACAGAGAACATTCAGGGTAAACGGGTCACTATGACCGGCACTGACTGGGTTCCGAGTTTCACACACATAGGGTCCTATGTCATTCCTTGTGACACCATGTAAAGTGAGGGTCCTGTTGTCCAGGGACAGTTCCAGCCTGGTGCTCTTCAGGAGGCTCTTACTGTTTACTGACCACAGGTAGCTTGTGTTCTCAGTCTTAGGTTCACACGTTAATACTACAGAATCCACATTCTCCACAGGGTCCAACTTGTTGCTTGTGATGCTGGGTTTGGGTGACTCCGCTGTGTAGACAACAGAGAGAACATTGCCTTGTGTGGTACCTGTGATTCCTCCAAAGGCATCTATAATCAGGGCTGGCTTCTCTCATCTCTCTGCCAACTCAAGTCCCTAAGAATAAAGCAGATCTGTGTATCTCAAGACAAACGCAAGAGAATCTGAGGGCTCGCAGAAGGAAAAGCCCTCTGCTCTCGGTGAGCCTGAAAGCACAGACTTTCTCTAATGTCAATTACAGGGCAGCATTTTGTCGTGGAAGATATGGGGCAGAGACAGCCCCCATCCCCAACACGGCACCTCTCCTGGTTCTTCACGGACCTGATGGGATGGGGATATGAGCAGACATGTCCCCCAGGGACACCAGAGCAAGCCCAGAGGTCAGCTCAGTACTCGGGCCCAGGACCTGAAGGAGGATTGATAATGACTCCATGAGGCAGCAGCCCCTACATGGCAGAGCAGAGTCTATAGACGAAGCAAAGATTCAGGAAATGAGCAGGAAGGAGGGGTGGTGAGTGAATGAATGACCATCATTCCTTCAAAAAGGCGTCCTGGTGCAGGATCCTAGGAGGTCTGACCACACAGGACCCTGTCCTCCTCCAGCAGGGAGGCACCTACCCTATTCACGCCTTCCTCAGGGTCACTAGAAGCAGGAGAATTAATTCATTTATTTTTGAGAGGGGTGGGAGGGGCATAGAGGGAGCGAGGACAGGGGATCCAAAGCTGGCTCTGCCCGAACAGCAGGGAGCCCAGTGTGGGGCTTGATAACAGATCATGAGCCGAAGCTGGATGCTCAAACAACCGATGCACCCAGGCGCCCCTCACTCCATTGTCCTAAACAAAAGCAAGTGAGTTTGTTATACGTGGACCCTGTGCTGGTTTCCAGTGCAGAGTCGGAGGAGAAGGCGAGTCCACCCCAGTGGGAGTGACTCCAACACACCAGGAAACAATCAGTGATTTCAGGTCCAGCCCAGGTAGGTGAAGGTCGGCCACCTGGGGGGCAGCGGGGGCACTGCTGACTCACATCGCACGGATGCAGGTCATTCAGTTGTAGAGTAAACACGGAATGAGCCCCTATTTGCTCTCAGTGCCCAACCAGCATCCTTCCCTTGGATGGGGGAGAGGACGGGGGCTGTGCTGCCCAGCCGCTCAACAGTCTGTGTGACCCTGAGCCAGTGACTGTATCTTCCCCCCCTGCTTCAGTGTCCCCCTAATAGGAATAATGGTAAATGATCTCTACTTGCCATGCCTGTAAATTAACCTTTACACACACTTAAATACCTGGCCCTAAACTGCTATACAGCACCTGGCCAGTCAGATGGCCTCTGTGACTCTTACCTCCCCAAACAAGACTCCCTGGGCCTGATTCTTCGTGGAGGAAGAGGCAACGAGAGCTCCTCTCTGCTCTGTTTCTCCCGGGGCTGCTGACCTTCCTCCGGCGTCCCCTAAGTCTCCCAGGATGGCTGGCTAATGGACTGGGGACTTTATATGTCTGTGCTGCCCTTGTCTCTCCCCAGATGTTGATCTTGAGACTGAGCACAGGCTGGTGACCAGCTCAGAGGCTCAGGACTCGGGAAGCTGGGAAATTGCTGCTCCCAGTCAGCCCTGCCCAGGAGCCCTAACCCCACCCTGGCACAGAGTCCCCAGGTGACTAGAGTCAGGAGCCCCAAGGCAGTGGTCTGGGCAGGGGCTTTCTGGGCTGAACTGCAGTGAGGATCCCAGGGGTCCCTCAGGCTTGACCTTGACAGAATCCTGCATGGTTTGTCTCAGATGGCTGTAGGGTCTGCATTCCAGGAAAGGAATCCAATCTTAGGACGACTGTGTCCACGGTGTGTATCCTGCACTAAATGCCAAAACCCCACACGGGACACAGTGCAGAGGGGGAGGGAGGCACAGTCCAGGCCTGTGAATGCTGTGTGTGAAGTAGAATTCACCCCACCCGACACCAGAGGGGAGAGGAATTACTCACAGAATACACGGAGCTGTCCAGTTACTTTTTCAATTTGGACATTTCTGTGTATGTACTGTAGGGTGTAGTATCCTGTGTCCTCCAGGGTGTTGTTCTGGAGCAGCAGGGATCCATTGTGATATAATGTCTCTCTGCCGCTGTGCGCAGCTCCTGGGGTGACTGCTTGTGAGTCTGCTGCATATGATACAATTTCTCTACTGATGTCTATAGTTTCCCCTCTGAACCAGCCAAAGCCTAGAAGATTCCCAGGCAGATTGTGGACACGCAGAAGAACATCCTTCCCTTTGGCAACATTGGGCGGCACCGATTCAATAGTGACTTGGGCTGTGGTGGGAGGGTTCCAGAAGGTTAAGAGTGAGACTAGGAGAGAAGGGAGAAGACATGGCTGAATAATTGACCTATGATTGGGATGGAAAGATGGGGCCCTGAGACTGAGCAGCTCCTAATCCCTCAGCTTTAGGGGCAGGTGTGAGTTTGCACGTGTCTTTGTGTGTCTGTGTGTCTCCTACTGGTCAAGGTCAGCAGCACAACTACCATTACTTTGGCACTTCTGAACTTGTAATTTTCTCTGTGTCTAATACTCTTCCTCAGATGTCTGTGGGCTCACTCCCTCATGCCCTCAAAAACCTGCTCACACTCAGGGGGTCCTCGGGAGAGGCCTGCTCACACTGTCTTCTCCAAGGACCCTCTGTCTTCTCATTCTGACCTTTCTCTGCTCTGTTCCCTTCGTGGCTGCTCCACACCTGACCTCCCATTTCATGTCTTTGCCTGTCTGTCTTCCTCCCCAGAGAAGTGCGCTCAGGGAGGGCAGGGACTCTGACCTGGGTTGTGCCCCAGTGGTGGAGCGGGCTGCAAATCCCTGTGGATGGATGCGTGAGTGTTCCCAGGGCCCTCCGTGTCCCAGCGGTCATCTGTCTGTGTCTCGGGCTGCTGGGAGGGGCAGCGTTTGGGGTCCCTGGTTGCTAACCTCGGTTTGCAACCTTCAGTCCTCAGAGATGAGTAACTTGGGAAGCAGCACTTCGCTCACCACTTCCAGATCATGAGATTTTCCTGTTGCTGAGCCGGGAATCTGCTGTCCTGCCCTGTCTGTTCCCATGTCCCCTCTCAGCGTCCTGTCCTCTGGGGAGGCTCCAGCCAGTCTCTCTCTCTTCCCCCCTCCCCTCCGTCCCTCTCACCTGCCAGCAGGAGCTTCTGCCAGGGGACACGCCTTCCTCGGGGAGGGGCCGAGGGGGGCTCCATGGTGCCTGCTGCCTGCTCTGTCCCTCCTGAGAGGAGAGCGTCTGCTGCAGAAATGCTCAGGGGCACTGCTGTCCTGACCAGTTGCCTCCACTGTCCTTCCTCCCTCTGGGCTTGATTGCCTCTGTGGGCAGGAGCTCCTGGCCAGGTCATGTGGGCCGGGGCGGGGTCTTGCCAGGTCCCCCCCTCCTCTACCCTCCCCTCTCCTTTCCTCACTCCTGCCCTCGGGTCTGTTCTTCCCCTTTCATTTCCTCCACCTTCCGCTTCCCTGGGAGCTGCTGAGGCCTCTCCCGCTTCAGGGGGATTTCCCACCACATGCGAGCGCTGCGCCCTCGTGTGGACAAGCACCAGCCTGTGGCACTGGAGTCCCGGGCGCTCCCCACGCTCAGGGTCAAGGTGCACAGTCAGCACTCCCTGCTGCCCTCTCTCCTCCCCACGTGGCTCTTCTCTTCAGAGCAGGAGGCTGGGGGGCTACGTCAGGCTCTTGTCACAGGGACGTTACCCCCACTGGGCATCGGGATCACCTGTGGAACTTTCTAAGCGTTCGGAATGCCCAGGTGACCCCTAGACATGCTGCTTCAGCAGATGGCCAGCCAGGCTGAGACCCCACGATGTGGGGGTGGGGCCACCTCTCCCTCCTGTACCCACAGGGGGTCAGCGGATCCTGTAAAACGCAGATTCTGACCCAGCAGGTGTGGTGTGGACCTGAGATCGGCCTCTAACAAGCTCTCAGCTGATGCTGGTTGTCCTGGGCGGGGAGCACACTCTGAATAGCGAGGCTGATGGGGACCCGGTTCCCTTAGAGGGCGAGCCTCGTCCCTACTCCGACTTGGCCTCTGCTGTGTCCTGGCCTTGAGTCTGTCAGCCCCATGCACAGAGCCCCCGGGTCGCCAAACCCAGGGGCTTCTCTCCGTCTGTAACAGAGAAGGCCAGCAGGGCACCGGCTCCCCAGTGTTCTCAAGTGCTCTGGGGAGGCTGGATTTACCCCTGGCGGCAAGGTCACAGAGGTGACTCTGAGGGTGGGAAGGGGCCAAGCCGGGTGATGACTGGTGAGGGACCCAGTCTCCATCCCTGGGTGTCACCAGCCCCGCCTCTGCTTCCAGGGACAGAGACCCAGGAGTAAGTGTCTCAGGTGCTCAGGTTCAGGGTGTGAAGGGGGTTTCCTGTGTGTCCTGGGAAGAGAAGAGGTGGTGGGAGGTCGGGTGGCTGGAGGTTCCCTGATCCTGGAGGGAAGGTTGTAGGGAGACCCTCCCTCTACGAGTCTGCTGGCTGCACTGTGGCCGAGAGGCTGACCGTGCGCTCCTGAGCGTGCTGGGCAGCCGTGTCGTCTGGCTGGGGGACTTTCCTGTGGTCACCCTGCCTCCCCCATGGTGGTGCCAGGCGAGGAGTGAGGGCTGCACAGGGACCCCTGACAGATCAGGGTGCTCCAAGGTCCCTAGAAGGAGCAGACAGGACAGAACAGCCACGTGGGAGGACTCAGAAGGGTCTGTTGGAGAAAGGGATGGAAATCAGGCTCCTCTCCCTCATTGGCCAAACGAAGCCAGCTTCCCATTTGAAGTCCCTGTGTGTTGCCTGCATGTCCCTATGTCGCCCCCTGGAGGTGCTGCTGGGGCTGCACCAGGGATGCTGACCAGGTTCCAAAGGATGTGAGGGCCTGACCCCTGGACAGCCTGGGTCTGAGTCCCTGTGGGTCCTAGGCTGCCTGACTCCATTCCAGGGCAGGGTGAGCCCAGGGAGAGGACAGGCAGTGTCCAGAAGGTTCCTGATCCTGAGTCAGGAGAATTGTCGACCCAGAGGGATGCGGTCCCCAGGAGGAGCTCTCTGTCCTCAAGATGTAAGGAACGACCTAGTCGAGGTCTCTTGAGAATTTGCAAGAGGAAATGGCCTGGAGGGGTGTGTGTGACAGATGGACACCATAATGCCCTGTTTCCTCATCACAGCAAGGCGGGGACTACATCCATGTCTTCCGTGTCCCTGCCTTTGCTCTGGGCCTCCCCAGGGACCCCACCTGGGGACTCAGCTGAGGGATCTCAGGGCTTCCTGTTAGAGGAGAGGAGATGCTCAGCCTCTCTGAGATGGAAACAAATGTAGACCCTGGGTTGTCCTGTCCCATCCTGCACAGGAAGTTCCCCTCATTCCCCAGAACTCCTTGGGCCACTGAAAATCTTCAGGGAGCCACAGCAGGTGTCCATCCCCACATCCCAGGGGCCCTCAGGATGAGGAGTCATTCCTGATTTCTCACAAGGTCAGGGTTGTGCTCTGAACTCCCGTGGTGTTAACTCCACCTGGGGTCGTATCCAGAATTGGTGCCAGGTCAGATCTCTGAGAGAAGAGGAAGCACACAGGCTGCCCGGTCAGCCCTCTGGGGACAGGTTGTTCACAAGGTAGAGAAGGGGGGTGTGTGTCAGCTTTCTGGGAATGAATGGGTGTCCAAGCCCTCACTGTTGGAGGCCCCTGTCCTCCCTCCTGAATCTGGGAGGGATAAAGGCCCAATAGCCTTAAAGCAAGAGCCTGGGGCACTTGCTGGCCTCTCCCACGCTGCTCCCACGCTGATGCCAGTGCCTCTGGGTCTACAGGGAAGAGGCTCCGACCCCAGGCATGACATGGGTGACATGCTTCCATCGTGTGGTCTCCCTCCTGCACATAACGAGTTTTTCCTGGGCCTCTGTGACGTGTCAGGCCCTGGGCTGGGTCCTGGGAACTCCACAGAGAACAGGACAGACACGGATCCTGGACTCCTGGGGTCTCCTTTGCAACAGGGCCAGAAGCACTCAGAGAAAATGATGGTTTTGAGACTCCCTTAAATTGGGAAAGAAGGTGGGGTGCCCTGCATTTCTCAGTTGGTTAGTGTCTGCCTCTTGATTTTGGTTCAGGTCATGATCTCTCTGCTGTGAGACTGAGACTCTCGTTGCCTGCCCAATGGGAGTGGAGCATGCATGATTTCTCTCTTTCTCTGTGTCCCTGCTTTTCTCTTTCTCTCTGAAAAAAGGGGGAGGGGCGCCCTGGTCAGCTGAGTGTTCAACTTTAACTCAAGTCTTGATCAAAAAGTTCATGGGTTTGAGGGGCGCCTGGGTGGCTTACTCGGTTAAGCGCCCGGCTTTCGCTTAGGTCATGATCTCACGGTTCGTGGGTTCAACCCCCGCGTCGGGCTCTGTGCTGACTGCCAGCTCAGAGCCTGGAGCCTGTTTCAGAGTCTGTGACTCCCTCTCTCTCTGACCGTCCCCTGCTCACGCTGTCTCTCTCTCTCTCTCTCTCTCTCCTAGAAATAAATAAAAATATTTAAAAAAAAAAGTTCATGGTTTTGAGCCCTGTGTCAGGGTCTGTGCTAATTCTCACAGTCTGGGGCCTATTTTGGAAACTGTCTCCCTCTCTCTCTGCCCCTGCTCATGTTCTGTCTTTCTCTCTCTCATAAAGAATAAACATTAAAAATTATTTTTAAGTAAGATTTAAAATAAAATATAATAGAAAGAAGACAAGAGCCGTGAAGGGAAAGTGTCTGGTGTGACAGGAGCATGTAAAGGGGTCTCAGCTCGTCTTGGGGGTCACATGAAACACTCCTGACATAGTGATCTTTTGACTGAGATTGGAAGTTGGAGGGGCCTTCGTGCCTCCAAGGACAGGGGTGTGGAGGGACGAGCTGCCTACAGAGGGACCAGTCTCAGCAGGCAGACACCTTGCGGGCTGGAGTGTTGACGGAGTTCAGTGTGGGGAGCCTGGAGAGTGAGGAGGACTGTGATGGAGTGAGGCTGGGGGGGTCAGACCCTTCTGGGTTGTGGGTGCCAAGGCAGATCAGCAGCGTGACCCCTACCCCCCCAAGTCTCTAGGCTGTGGACCATCTCTTCCGCCCTCTGGTGGACCATGAGGAAAATGTGGAAGTTCTGGAGAGTTTTTAATGTATATATTCAGTAATATTTCATATATGTAGATATAATTTTTTGGAACTTTCTTGTGTTATAGATGACATATAAGAAACTCCACATGTTGAAAGTATAAACAAAAAGGGATAGGGGGCACGTGGTTGGCTCAGTTCGTTAAGTGTCCGACCTCAGCTGGCTCCTGAGCTTGAACCCCTGGTAGGGGTCTGTGCTGACAGCTCTGAGCCTGGAGCCTGCTTCAGATTCTGTGTCTCCCTGTCTCTCTGCCCCTCCCCCACTCATGCTCGCTCACTCTCTCTCTCCCCCTCTCATAAATGAGTAAACATTCAAACATTTAAAAAAGTATACAATCTCCTACGTTTTGCCATATATATGCACCAGAGAAACCATTCTTACGTGAAGAGAGTGAAAATGCCCCTTACCCTCAAAAACCTCCTCATGCCCTCTTTATTGTCTTAAATTAGCCCCCTCTGTCCTTCTTTCTCTGTGTCCCATGAAACATTACATTGCATTTTGTTGTTACAGATTAGTTGGCATTTTTTAGAATTTTTAGAAGTTGAATCATACAGTATGATTTGGGGCAGAGGTTGGTTTCTTTACTCAGTGTGGGTTGTTAAAAACAGGTTTTAAAAATGTTTATTTATCCAATGGAATAAAGACAGTGTCTTAAGCAAATGGGATAAGTGGACAGCAACATGCAGAAGAATGAACCTGGACCACTAGTCTTACACCACACACAAAAATAAACTCAAATTTGATGTAAGACCTAATCTAACGTAAGACAGGGAGCCATCAAAATCCAAGAGGAGAAAGCAGGTAAGAACCTTTTTGACCTTGGCTGCAGCAGCTTGTTACTCAACACTTCTCCAGAGGCAAGGGAAACAAAAGCACAAATGAACTATTGGGACCTCATCAAGATAAAAAGCTTCTGCACAGCGAAGGAAACAATCAGCAAAACTAAAAGGCAATCAGAGGAATGGGAGAAGGTATTTGCAAATGCCATACCAGATAAAGGGTTAGTATCCAAAATCTGTAAGGAACTTAATACACTCAACACCCAAAAAACAGAGAATCCAATGAAGAAACGGGCAAAAGACACGAATAGACACTTTTCCAAAGAAGACATCCACATGACTAACAGACATGTGAAAAAATGCTCAACATCACTCATCATTAGGGAAATATAAATTAAAACCACAATGAGATAGCATCTCACACCGGTTATAATGGCTAAAATTAATAACTCAGGCAACAACAGAGGTTG